TGGTCTTCTTTGTTCGCGCGATCAGAAAATATTGTTGAAATTTTTTAACTTCGCTGCGAGTGTTTGCATGCTCGCTGCCAGCTGTTTTTACGATGAGTGGAAAAGAGCCTTTAAGCCAGCCCATACAGACCGGACACGATTTGGCAACGCGACGAGAATTTTCAATTTTCAATGACATTTAACTTTAATATTTTTCAGTGTTTTTCAAATATTCGGGACCACTTAAGCAATTTTAGCTATGCGGTCTAAATCCCGTTGACGGTTTTATTTGATTTTGAAAACCGAACATTCGCGTCGCATTGCCGAATCGCGTCCGGTAGTGTGGGCCTTTATAGTCGCTGGGGCTATTGCGATGAAAATTGAAAGCTTTGCGTTTTACACACGGAGCTGTCAATTTTGTGTGAGATGACCGCTGGAAAGTTAAAATCTTCGGGACTTAGAGTTGAGTTTCCATTGACAGTATTGTCTACTGAGTCATTTTTGAAAAGCAATATAGTATAATACAGTCGCTCGAGGTCAACGTACTTTTTATTGTCCTATTGATTTCAAATACCTCATTATTAAACAAATTTTCTTACTATGTTGTCGTGTCTGAATAGTGATATATTTTTCTTTTTAAAGGTGATTAAAGCAGCAAAATTGAAATAAAGTCATGAAACATAGCTACTGTAGTAGTAGTATGGTATAACTTGTAGGCTATGTGCTGTAGTAATTCAGATATTGTGCAGAAAAGATGTCATTTTTTGTAAAAATACCTGATTAAATGTTTAGTTTGATAACTGTTCTGAGCAGTGTTGTAGTCCTGAAACGCTAACAAAGGAGCTTGAAACAGGAGGGGAGAGGGCATGCAGGGCCAGGTTTTCTCTCGATATATTTTTAAAACGGCTGCATGAATCCAAGCATGCTTTCATGTCGTTCTGCATTACAGCAGAAGGAAAATTCAATCAAGCCGGTATAAAAGGAAGACGTTCTCATGCAGCTTGTTTGTATCCTCTGTATATAGGACGAGCCAATAAACATACTATATTCACTCACTAACGCTCGGGCCATTCCGAATATAAGCCCCCCCCCCCCCCAAGTATATAAGCCCCTCTGTGTATCAGCCCATGCGCTTATTATTGCACTGGCATTTATTAACACAGCGACAGGGATTCCAACAGCTCAGACGAGTGATGATGATACATTACAACATTACAATATGTTAGTAGGCCTAACCAACTTGTTTTATTGTTATATACTGTATGTTTATGTTTCTTTTCATTCACGGTATAGTTTACAGGTATAATAAATATTATTACTAACATCAAATGTCGTCTGTATATAAGTTCCTCCATCTCCATGTATGAACGACATAAACCCATCAAAAAATGCTTACCAACGAATATAAAGTCCTGCAGGTTACCAAAGGCTCATGAGGAAACGATAAAAGTGCGGCATTTTGCAGGTGCTCCGCCTTGCCATACGTCAATAATGACCACTATTACCTCGACATGATTGAAAACCTACAGATTGGACATATTATCACCCGGTCTGATGCAGAACGTATTTTTCTTAGGTCTATGGATTTTATCACCACATAGACAAGCGTTTAGTAAATCATCAGAATACCGGTATGAACAACTATCTGTTAATAATTTACAACGAATATTATTATTTCACTCACCAACAGTATTTTTGGTGTTCCAGGTTTTACGGAACGCCATATATATATAGACATCATTGACGCAAAGGAAATAAGTGTCACCACACTGACGTACAACAACCAAGATTCAGAAAGTTGTATTTCTAAAATAATTGACAAGAAATTAGAAATGGTTTTTAGTTTACAGGAATATGTGAAGTTTTGATGGCACATGATGAGAAACATATACTTAAAATAAGCAAACACAGGAAATTGGTTGTGTATTAAGCCAGTGTGTTTGAACTTATTTCCATCAAAAAATGCTTGCGAACGAATATAAAGTCCTGCAGGTTAGCAAAGGCTCATGAGGAACCGATAAAAATGCGGAATTTTGCGGCATCTTGCCATATGCGTCAATAACGACCATTATTATATGGCCTTTCAAAATTCTCTATTCTGATTGGTTGACAAGCGGTTCGTGAAAACCCATATCCGGACCGTGGTCCGTATTTTCCGTATCTGGATCGGTGTCCCGGATGTCGTTTATCTGGCGGGAAATTTTTGCTTTCAAGCAAACAGAAAAACATTTTGCTTTTTAAATTTCCAATTGTGCTTTACAGATAAAAATTTCAAACAACCAAATTGTTTTTGATTGAGCATGCATGCCTACCGTATATGTTGCCCAGTGAAACTGACGACAGCCGACTTAAAAAGCATATCCTCACAGACTCAGTTCAGCCATATAATAAACCGATTATTGACCTCGCTTGTTTGGTCTGTACTGTGGAATATCAGACCTCTGTTTTTTTGTATGGACCTCGCTCCTTCGTCGCTCGGTCTATACTAAAAAATCTCGGTCTGATATTTCACAGTACAGACCTGTGGCTCGGTCAATAAGCCGTTATTATAACGTTATTATAACGTTATTATAAATAATTTAGTTTACAGGAAAATGTGAAGTTTTGATCATGGTACAGGATGAAAAACGTATACTTAATTAAAATAAGCAAACACATGGGGAATTGGTTGTGTAAGTCAGTGTGTTTGAACTTATTTCCTTTGTGTCAGTATGATGTTCATGTTGTGAAACAAACCGGGTGTGTCTAGCTCTTTTATTTTTTTAAAGATCAAATTCCTAAGGATCTGAGATCGGGTGTAGTGTATTCTTTTCAGTGTCGATATGCTGTGTCGCGTCGTATGTGACCAAGCGGTCCGTCATTTACACCGGCACCCGAGTATAGGAACACTATTATATGTGTTTCTCTTCGTTATTTAACAACTTCAATTTGGCAGATAAAAAACTGTAAACAATATTTGCATAACTCAAACGAACAATTACATTGTACAAGAGGATGAGGAAAGTGCCAAAAGTGGCGAAACACAAACGAGACTATGCAAGGTGCTCACCACTAGACAAGAAACAAAGACAAGAAACAAAGACAAGAAACAAAGAGGCAAGAAACAAGGACAGCAAGAAACACGACAAGGCAGATTAAATGAAAAGATTTAGAGAATGAAAAGGTAGAGAGAATGAAAGGACAAAGAGAGAAATGTTAGAATGAAAGACCTGGAGGATATTGTTATTGAGTCGTGATAAGTGAGTGTGAGCTAGGTACGTCAGGAGTGTAGGAAGTAATAGTCATGAGATGTAAGTCTTGCGCAGTATAACTCTCGAGTAGTAATCTCACACTTACGCATCCATTCGCACCTCAAAACTACTGGCCTTCTAATAAGTTCTTTGTAGGATCGCATGGCGATAAAACATATAGTAGATATTTTTTGTTTGTGGAACCACCACGTATAAATTTATTACTGCACTGTCCTTCTCTTGATGACTTCAAAGCACTTTCTTCTTGCGCCGTCTCTGGTGAACTTCTAATTTGCGAAAGTCTCTTCATTTCTAAGCTCAAGCCTTCCTTAAACAAGCCAGGCTATTCCGTCCCTCTTTTTCTGCCTTCCTACTCTGATTACCACCCCCACTCTCATTCCCCTGTTTTCTGTGTCTGTAATTCAGTACTTTGTAATATAGTCATTTAAGTAATTTATTCGTAATCCCTGTCATTGTAATTTTACTGTTAGTTTAAGACTATATATATATATACAGTTTCGGCCTTTTGGGCCTCATCAGTGTAGTGCTGATGAGCAGGATGAAAGTAACCACTATTTAATAGATAATTACTGAGGCCAACGGCATTATTCGATATATTGCAGCCAGCTGAGGCCGAAGGCCGAAGCTGGCTGCAATATATCGAATAATGCCGTTTGGCCGAAGTAATTATCTATTATAATTACTGACCCGAATCAAAAGTAATTATTTTCGGCTGGAAGACTATGTTGCTGCTTGTTGGGACCGTATGACAATGAATCTATCCAACGTTACACTAGACATTTGTGAGGACATGCATGTAATGCATCGTGATAGAACAGATTTCAGTTTAATTAATCGCCCTAAATTAAAATCTCCACAAGCGGAGGTCAATTATAGTGTTCTAGTTGACATATTATCATTAATGATAAGGTTAATTCAAAGAGCGTATTTAAACTGGATAAACACGGGAATAGAACTTATGGTGTGTTCTGCACATGCGTATATCTAGGATAAAATCCCACAAGCGCAAACGAAACTATTTCTCTATAAAGTTGAGCTGAAAGGACTCACAGTGACCGTTTTGGCAGTGCTTCAGGCGCCCGATGATATTGTATAAGGGGCCTTTAGCACTGTCAACTTCTCATCGAGATGTTCACGTTATCGCGTGTACTTGTCCGGATGACGAAGGATTGCGAATAATGTCTGTGTGCACTGATACACGCTGCATTATTTTTAATAATGCTGTGTGCACGCTGCATTATTTTTAATAATGCTGTGTGCACGGTGCATTATTTTTAATAATGCTGTGTGTACGCTGCATTATTTTTAATAATGCCGTGTGCTATTTTAGCCCGTATAAACATTTACCCCTTGGAATTTCCCTACAATCAAAAAAGACCGCTCCCGTTTTTCAGAAGAACGCTAAACTTCTCGACATTCGCTGATATAATGCAGAGAAAAAACAATAGGTTATTATGACCGTCAGTAATTATTAATAGTTACCTTTGATGTCTCACAAATGTGGGGCATCAAACCATTGCCAGAGTGCTCAAACTGCAAGCAGTGAGCGTGCGCACAATGCGTAAGCAGCAATGGCTCATCCTGTAGAGTGCTCAATATGACACAAAGGCCATAGAGCAATTTCTAACTACAGACGGTACCGTTTCGGCCTCATCAGTGTAGTGCTGATGAGCAGGATGAAAGTAACCACTATTAATAGTTACCTTTGATGTCTCACCAATGTGGGGCATCAAACCATTGCCAGAGTGCTCAAACTGCAACTAGTGAGCATACAATTACACAACTAACATATCTAACATATCTATCTATCTATGTATATATATATACTTATATATATATATATATATATATATATATATATATATATATATATATATATACGAGAACTTCTCCACACTGAATACACTGGCCGTTGTCAGCCATGTCTACGCTTATTACATGCATACTGTCATGCGGTTGCGGGAAAGGCGGCAAATACTGAATTTAATGAATATTGAGACCGTGATTGGTCAGCGGTTTATTTGTGGCGTGAATCGTGAAATTGTGCCATGAATCGTGAAATTGTGGCGTGAATCGTGAAATTGTGGCGTGAATCGCGCATTTGTTGGCGTGTCTCGTGATATTGTGGGGTGATTTCACTTTTTGTGCGTGAATGACCCTTATCGGCCATCGTATCTGTTATTTCTAGATGAGCTAATTAGATTTCGTTTCAGAACCGACTGACCAATAGGGAAAGCACAGGAAGTAAAAAGACATTTGAATTCGCATGAATTGATCAACTTCGGGAAATGAATTGATGATTTGATGCAATATTTTATCAACACTTCTATAATTGCTTGAATATTAATTAATTAAAGTGATATTGACAATTGCAAAATATGTGAATAGGTAAATCACTCGCAACTTGCAGATACGCTGCATAATTATGGTTCTCAAACCACATGCATGTAGTTGGGAACAATGTAGGCTATATATTCGTTTCAGTTCTGCATTGAAATTCATGTTATTTTCAGATCAACAATGCATGCATGGCTATGAATATTAAATATTGAATATATCATCAGTTTATTGAATACATGTAACGTATCGCATGTCTATTAGTGCATACCAAATGTTTAATTCTTTAAACTCACTTGATGTAAACAAAATAAAAAACATATATTTAATATATATACTATGGATATTATATAAGACACACTCTAGAACATTTTCATCCTTATATATATATATATATATATATATATATATATATATATATATATATATATATATATATATATATATATATATATATATATATATATATATGAGTCATGCATAGTGAATATATTATACTGTGTGAAACGAAATAAGGTCTTAGATTGATATATGAAAACTATGTTAAATAAATACAACCTCTCGAGCGATAAATCCTCCGCTGGAAGCTATGGAATAGCTAATCAATAATACACTGCGATGTTTTAAATTGAAGCCGGCCAAGTTTCATATTATGAAGGGCTTTTCTCGAAGTGTCGAATTGTTTTTGTCTATAGCCAAACGAATGTAGGACAAAGTAATATGCATGAAATAATCACTCGGTAATGGAAAATCGTTGAGCATAGATTATATTACATAACTCATAAGCTTCTTTTAAAGATTGGCTGCCAGTTCACAAAAATAAAATGTAACAAGACGCTTTCTAAGAGTTTACTCGAGCTAAAGGATTTGCAAATTTGACAAATACTTGATCGAGTACGCATATTAAAATCCACTATCAGTCCTCAGAGAGTAAACAAAGTAATAGCACGACGGCAGGAAGTTGAATGAGCCATTGAACGCCAGCACGAAGAGCAGGAAGTCGAATAAGCCGCTGAACGCCAATAAGATAATCACAAATAATCACATGCGTCCACGATTTGTTTCGATTGGTCAGAATTAACAGTGGCCGCGTTTCTCCACAAGAGGTAAGATCCTGGGTGCGAGGTTGTCAGGCTATCTGCCATAAAAAATGGTCGAAACCTGGGAAGTCCGCGGAACTGGAGTCTGTAAATTATAGATCCATTCTTACGCAAAATACAAAATGGCTTACTATGCACTGTTGAAACTGTCAATTTATTATCGTTATTATTTGAAAGTATCAATAATCTTGGGTCTGCATAAAGTGCGAGACATGCGAGGCACCAAAAACTTGCGAATCACACGTCAATGCAGCAGCGAGCCATGCATACTTCGCAGAAACGTTTCTATAATTAGACCAAATATATTTGTACGAGTAGTATTATGTTATATTGTATATAATTTTAAAGCTTATATGCTGAAAACAATGTTTTCTTTTAATTTATAAGCTACGGAATAAATGTTGAAGATAGCCATATCTTTACATGTACAGTATCAAAATCGACAACGCTTGGTCTTATTAAACATTTTTATGAATACGGCAAGCACACTGCATGCAACCACTAAGGCCCGTTTTATACGTCGAATTTCGGTCGCGTCGAATGCAATTCAAACAATAGATAATGAAGCTTAATGAGGTTTATCATCTCATTATCTATTGTCTTAATTGCATTGGACACGAACAAAATTCGACGTATAAAACCGACCTAAATTCAACGAAATTGAATCTATAAGTTTAGTCATTCGGGATAGCTTTATTTATTGTAGATTGAATGTTCTCACAGTGGGCTATAGTTTTCCATTGTAACTATATACCGGACGAAACTTAAACTGGAGTCAATTTGTTTATACCAGAGAACACTAGTTTGTTTAGTTTAGATCTTGTATTTGTCCTTACTCCTTAACACTGTCACTGATATTCTTTCAAAATATACTTAATTCTTCGCTCTCAGCATTCGTGATATCAGTTTGTTTTGGAATTTCATCGGCATTAGTCAGTGGTTAACCTATTCTTCGTCAATGTCCAGTGTTACTTCATTTAATATATACTCTAAAGCCTCTAAAGATCTATTAATATTTAACTAATCATATCTTGTTACTTCACTATATATACTTTTACATAATATATTATTTGTAATATCATTCATTTCCTGACGATGACTATAGTTTAGTGAAACGTCGAAATATATTTTCAGACTGCTTTCAATTTTCGGAGTATCTATTGTTTTGTATAATAGTGTATAAGTTTCAATTGTTGATTCTTTTCGCCAACATTATGCAGCAAGCTAAGCATGCATGAGCTCTTGGTTTATAAAGTTGGTTTAGTTAAAGTTTCCTTCTGTTGCTGGTAACACACTCGACCAATGAAATATAGTCCTTACTGGACCTTTAGGCCGGGGGAAGAGTTTAAAAACTGACAATATACAGGCTAGAGTTTCCTATAGCTTCTAAAACCAGTACTTACGTTGTACTAAAGGCTTAAGTATTTTTTAACAATGAACGGCCGAAGTATTTTGTTTTTAATTTTCTTTGTTCAGAGAAAGGGCAGCAAAAGCTTTCAATTCCTACAGACAAAATGTTTGTAGGAATTGAAAGGTTTCGCCGGACTTTCTCTGAACAACATTGAAAACGAGAATACGCAACCAAAACCGCCCACAATCTGCATTCATCTTCCGCTCATTAGAAGAGAGGAACTTCCCTTTACATATACATC